ATCATTGCCAAAGTAGTTGAAATATTTTTATATGGATCAACTAGTTCAATAATTCAGTTTCATCACTATGTTTATATGCAAATTCCATCATCTGCAGGTCCAACTCATTAAATATCACAAGAATGATAAATGTACCAAATGTACCACTTAAAGTACTTTTCATTACAAGCAACATTCACTCAGCTACACAGCGCCACTATATGCTGCACCTTTTCTATCACACAACAATTCAGTGTTCAGTATCTGGCCCAAGGACACGTCAGGCGGCAGACTCTATAGTAGGATAAAGCCAACAACCCTCTAGTCAATGGATGACCTGCTCCACCTCCTGAGCCACAGTGCTAACATAGAATATGCAATTCATATGAGTAATAAATAAAAATATTTTCATGAAACAGCCGAGCACTGTAGGTTTTTAGCACACATTACTCAAACAGGATTAGTGTGTTTCCAGCTGCAGATGTGAGGCTCGAATGTGTATTTATGGCACCAGGACTGTGTGAAATCAACTGAAAATAAACCACAGTGCATGTTCATCATACTGAAGGAACAAGTCACCCAGTGCAACAATGTGGATTCAGTATGTGCAATCAGACGTATCATTTAAATGCAGAGTACAGTTTCCCAGAATCCTCTTTGATTCCAGTCTCATACTTCCTGTCTCGCTCCAGGTCGAGCTGGGAGCTGCCTCAGCTGCGAGAGGGCCTGGTGAGGGCCATCAGCGACTCAGACGGCGTGAGCTACCCCTGGTACGGAAATACAACAGAGACTGTCACCATAGTGGGCCCCACCTCCAAGCCGTCCCGCTTCATCGTCAGCATGAATGACAATTTCTACCCGAGCGTCACCTGGGCTGTGCCGGTCAGCGAATCTAACACGCCCTTACTGACTAACATCAAAAGGGACCAGAGCTTTACCACATGGCTGGTGGCACTGAACACCACGTCCAGGGAAAAGATCCTGCTCCACACCATCAAGTGGAGGATGAGGGTCGATATCACGGTGGATCCGACGCTGCCCCTGGGCTCCAGGGCCAGACTGGTGGGCCGGGTGCATCAGGACCAGCCTCGGGTGCTGACCCGCATGGAGCCCATCCCTCTCAACGCCATGGGGAGGCCCAACGCCAACGACGCCCAGGTTCTGATGTGGAGGCCGAGGAGAGGGCCTCCGCTCGTCGTCATACCACCCAAATAAGAGCATTGAGGGCGTCTGATTGGCTGAATCCTATCACAGTTGGCCACTTCTGCAGCAAAACAGCTCAACAGATAATCAGATGCAAAGATCGAAAAACAAATGGAGATCGATAAGCAGGTCGCGTTTTTTATAAACTGTCGATGGCACAAGTAAGAGTCGAGTGCGTGTTAAATCTTGAGGGGACAGCTGCCTTAATTCCCCACCGCTGCCTTTGACGATCCAGAAAGTATGTCGGCCTTCTTCAGGTGCTGTTAAGCTGTTTGGTTGTTCAGGATTTACTTTTACAGCCACAGCACAACTGAGCGAAGCTTTGTATCAATGAAAATCTGCCACCGGTGCTGGGAGGTAACACAAACCTGTACTGTAGCTACTCTGGTCCAGAAAGAAACGATCGAACCGAAACCAACACAAGTTTTAAAAAAAGATCAAAAGTTGTTTTGGCCTTAACCTCGAGTTAAGAACAAGTACATTCATAACAGACATAACCAACTAGAATATCTACTGAGATGATACTGGATGATGTGATTTCAGGCACGATGCGAGTGTGTTTGTGTGTTTTCTATAATGGAGCCCCAGGGTCAGGTCCAGGCTTGCTGCTTTGTCACACCAGACTGCCTCACACTAACTCACACACACACCAGGGGGGTGATTACGTTATGTACATGCATCCTCAGAGCTATTTTGCTTTTTACATATCACAGAAAATGTAGAAATCACAGCTTGGAGTCGTAAACGAAGCCCTGCAGCAGGATTTTTTCCTCTGTCTCAATCGCAAGCGGCCAGTTCATCCAAGCTGCAGAGCTTCTCCCTCCCTGCCTTTTGAAAGCCAGCGCTGCCTGTGTTGATGACAGTAGAAACCAGGTTTCACCTTTCCCCCGTCCCATCCCATCTCTGAGGTTAGCTTATTTTTTACGTGTCAAAACGAGTCTGCCCAGAGTGGCTGTGTGAGGAGACAAATGGAGACGTGCTGTGCGTCTTCATTCAGTCAATATTTGTTGTTGAAGAACAGAGATTGTGGTGAAAGAGAACTGTATTTATACTTAAAGGATTGGTTGACCCAAAACGACAAAAAAAAAACAAGTCTCTTATTTGCTTAAAGACCTTATCCAGCCACGCAGATTTTCATTTTTGGAATGTAATTGTGCAAGCTTTGAAATACTGAATCTTTCTGTGAGATTTCAAACAAAACAAGTCAAATAAAATTATTTAGCGATCACAGCTCTGAATTATAACGTCAACATTAGCTAATTAAAACGTATTATATTTTGAACCTATTGATGTTGACCCATGTGAAGTTACTACAATTTATCAGGGGGAGAGACCATAGACTTTAAACAAAGATGAAAGATGCGACTCAACCTCCATTGTGCAAAAATGAAGCCAAAACATCCTGGATACAGATGCTGCCATCTTGAGCTTTTGATGTAAAGCCGGAGTCTGTGCTGTAGTGATCGTGGTGTGGATCAAAGTCAAGATTACAAGTAACTAATCAAAACCAAACTAATTGGATACATTAGCACTTGAATACACATCAGTGTGATAACAACTACCTAAAAGGACAGACAGCATCTTTGAGAAAAATATATTTGACATGCACTTTGACCTTTTCATTTGGTCCATGTCCCATCCATTGACATAGATCAGGCAGGATTTATGACCCTTACTGCAGCAGGCCACCAGGGGGTGATAAAGACATTTTGGCTTTACTTTTGTGGAGCTGTAATGTTGTACATCTTTATATAAAGTCTATGGGAGACATGGCGCTACACTAGGAAACTAACTACTAATATAAATACACCTCATAATCCACAGACTAGTTACTAGCAGTTTAAATAAGGACTGATTCTTAAGTAAGAAAGTATTTACATTATGTACAATGTCTGGAAAGACACAGGTTGATTTTTAATATAATTCGTC